AAGCTTACAAATTTTACATAAAATGTATTAGAATTCATTATTTTTGTGATATTTCATATGAAACCATTATTGCATATAGAAAGTTAAAAAACTGAAATTCCAACCACTAGAGTTTTTTACCCTTTTAGGTCGGAAAAACATGAAACAAAATTATTTAATCCACGGTGCCTCCGCAAATAATCGAGATTTAATTGGACCCATTTTATTTTTATGTAAATGAAAATTGAAAAAAATATACTGAGCAATTATCTTATTTTTCATTATTATTCATAAAAGGGAATCTAAGAAAATCATTTTTTTATAATAATTTGATTAACGCTTTAGTAATATGATATGTAAGAAATATATTGAGTGAATTTTATTGAAGATGTTAGAATGCAAAAAAAAAAACTATATTGATGGAGTCGATTCACTATTTTCATATCAATATAATTCATATTCAAGCTTAAACTATAGCGCCATTGATCATAATATTTGATAAAAGTAAAAAATACGTTTAAGTTACAAAGAATGCATTTTATAATACATACCGAGTATATGCTATTGCCATGAGTATTGTAATAATGTCAAGTCTATAATGAAAACATTGCTATAATTAATATGGAGTATGAAATATGGAGATGTTTATATGGGTAATGCAATATTATAAGGCATTATAAAAATATTTTATAACGCACCTAAATTTTAAAATATTTTCGTTACTAACGTTGTCAACATCTGAATTCATTATGAACACTAGCATAATTAGGAGTCCGGCTCCTCTCCAGTATATACGATACTGGACAATTCCAGTTGATCCATTATGGAGATGCCACACTTCCACTTATTAAATCAATGGTTAGGATTTTACTTTTATCAAACCTTTCCCTCATTCATTTTTAATTACTACAACAGCTTCACCGCGTTTCCGTCCAAGCCATCTTATCTTCAGAAAAAAATATTTGTTTTTGCTGATTTGAATATAATGTTGCAGTACATACGTATTGGTGTTTTTTTTGTTTATTTAGAATGTGGATAGTAGTTTCGGAACTTATTATAATCAAACTTGAAGTTTGAATTTTTGATGATTATTCAAATTGGGATTTTAATAGGGGTGGACATATTGGTTTGGTTTAACTGAACCGAATCGTACCAAATTGAATTAAACTGAACGGAAACCGGACCATATATATATGCAAATTGGGATTGAATTTGGTAGTATTTCTTCTCAACCGTATTAAATAAGACCAAAACTGAAAAAACCAAACAAAATTGAAACGAACTAACGAATTCAATAAAACTTTCATATATTATTAAAAAATACCCCCAACCCAAACTCAAACCGAACCACCAAACTGGACTAAACCAATCCGAACGAAACCAAAAAATAGTAAATAGCATGATTTTTGTTTGATAATAATTCTCTCAACCTATTTCAAACCGAACGGAACGAAACTTACAAAAATCGATATGCTCACCCCTAGTTTGAAGGTTTAAATACGTTTTTAGTTCATGTATATATGAGACGTTTTGTTTTAGGTCTTAGTAAAATACTTTTTTTGTTTTTCATATTCGTACTATGCACTATTTTATTTGTAATCCATCTCTAACTCCGAACCATTTCAATTCAGGAAAAAAGATATTTTCGGTTGTATAAATAGATTTAATATAAAAATTTAAATTTAATCTTTTTTAGGCTAACATGAGAGTCAAAACAACAAAAGCTAAATTAATTAAAATTTTAAAATATGTATAAAAAACTTCTAAAAACTAAAATTAAATGGATTTAGAGTAGTATGACAAAGAATTACATGAAACATATTAACCAGATATGTTTCGTTGTCAACTTGGGTTGTTATCATTGGTGATGGACTAAAAAAAATTAACATCAATTTCAGAATTAAAATGTACTATATTATAGTGACTAAAAAAATAATTAAACCGTTTATTAATTTAGATATCAAAGTGATACTTGTGAATTTGATGTTTGTTTCCTAATATATTACGGAGTAAATTCCTTCAAATCCACACTATTTTTTACTCCCTCCGTTCTCTAATAGATGTCTCACTTTCTATTTTGGTGTGTTCTTTAATATACCTATATACCATAATTCTTTTTCCTACTTTTTCATTCTATTTCCTACTTTTCCATTCAAACACAACTCACTGCACCTTTTACACTATCCCTATTACTTTCCCCTTAAAACTTCTGTCACACTCTATACTCCCATCCAGGGGCGGAACCAGGGGTGGGCGAGCCGGTGCTGGCGCCACCCCTTCGCCGGAGCTTTTGAGGTAGTAGTATTAGGTATTCCGGCCAGCGCCCCGTCTTCTTCTTCGGCGAGACCTGCCTGCGCCCCTGCTATTCTGAGATCCAGCGAGCTGCGATTCTGCGAACCAGGTGAGCTGCAACACTTTTTTTTTAATTAAATCATTCAGCCAAACGACGTCGTTTGGTTAAGTACAGAAACGGAAGAAACGGCGTTGTTTTGACTAGAGTTAGAGTTTTCCTTTTCCGTCTATATGCATTCCTCTTGGAGTTGGGCCGTTCCAGTCTTACCCGAGATTCGTCTGCCTTCATCCAGTCCATACTGCATACTTCCATTCGTTCCAGAGTTCCGCAAATGCCAGAGCCAAGCCAGACTTCGAGATCACTTCGCGAATTGCAGGTGGAGAGTTCTTCCCTCCCCTGTCCTCCAGTCCTCGCTCGCATGAATGAGTGAATCGAAATGCCCTTTTGAATTGTGATAGTGGACGCATGCTTTTGCGCAGCCCTAGGTTAATTGCAATCTCGAATCATTGGAGTAAGGCAGTAGCTTTGGTAAGTAATTTAAAATTGATATCTATTTTAATTAATTTCATTGGACTGATTAATAGCTTTAAGGTTTGATTTTAATTTGCAAGTTTATTGATTCCTCAATAGAATTGCTTTTTATAGTAATAATTGATTATAAGCTTGAATTGGTAAAACTGTAGACCGTATAAAATTGAAATTGAAAGTGCTTTAATTGTTTTAAATTTTAATTGGTTATAAGTATTTAAGAATTTGAAATTGAAATCTTTTTTAACTTGTTAGGTTACTCATGTGATCATGTCTATTTTACAATTTGTAACACGAGGCGGTGAACCTTCTAGACGAGATAACGAAGAAAATAGTAGAGAAAAACATCCTCGTGTCGAATTTGATCCAAATGATATTGTGTCTGATCCTGGATTACGTAAGTCAATACTCAAGTATAATCCTTTTATTAGAGACCAGGTTATGAGAGAATATTTAACCAGAGGTCCGTGTAGACCGATTGGCCATGTATATCCTAAGAGAGTGTATGGTAAAGAAAAGAGAAGTTTTCAACCTGCTTGGTTTGAGAAATATCAATGGTTGGAGTATAGCATTTCAAAAGATGCTGCTTATTGCTTGTGGTGTTATCTTTTCAAAGATTCAAATAAAGGAAACCGAGTTGGAGAAGTTGCATTTACCGACAAAGGGGTAAATAATTGGAAAAAAGAACTAGATATATTCAATACTCATGTTGGTGTGGTGGGTAGTGCTCACAATAATGCTAGAGTGAAACTTGAAACTTTTCAAAATCAAAGACAAAGTGTCTCACATTTGATAAGTGCACATGGGCGGGAAATAAACGTTGCGTATCGCATTTGTTTAACCGCAATTTTGGATGTGATATGATTTCTATTGAAGCAAGGTCTAGCATTTCGTGGTCATGATGAGTCATCTAGTTCTTTAAATAAAGGTAATTTCCTTGAATTACTAGAATGGTATAGTCAAAGAAATGAAGAGGTTGCTAAGACATTGAATGAGAATGCTCCCGGAAATAATCAAATGACATCTCCAAAAATTCAAAAGGAATTAACTAATGCTTGTGCATTTGAAGTCACACGAGTTATTCTTGAAGATATTGGAGATAATATATTTATTCTTATGGTTGATGAATGTAGAGATGTTTCAGTTAAGGAGCAAATGGGAGTTGTTTTGAGATATGTGGATAAACGTGGATATGTGATTGAACGTTTCCTTGGCATTGTGCATGTGACTGATACTTCTGCTATTTCTTTGAAAAGTGCTATTGATGAGTTGTTTTCAAAGCATAAATTGTCTTTATCAAAACTCAGAGGTCAAGGATATGATGGCGCTTCAAATATGAGAGGTGAGTACAATGAATTAAATGCTCTCATATTGAAGGAAAATCCTTCAGCAAGGTATGTGCATTGTTTTTCTCACCAACTTCAACTAGTTGTTGTTGCTGTTTCTAAGTCTAATCGAATTGTGTGTGACTTTTTCCAATATGTTATTATGCTTGTGAATGTCATTGGTGCTTCTTGTAAAAGAAAAGATAGACTTAGACAAATAGAGCATGACAGACTAGTTGAGAGTTTGGAGAAGGGAGAGATAGTAAGTGGGAAAGGGAAAAATCAAGAAGTAAGTTTGAGAAGACCGGGGGATACTCGTTGGGGGTCACACTACATAACTATTGTGCGTTTGATGTCTATGTGGACTTCGGTTTTAAAAGCACTTGAAAATGTGCATGATGATGGAGCTACTGAGGAGCGGGGTATGGCTTCAAGTTTAATCAACAAGATGGAGAATTATGAATTTGTCTTCGTTATGCATTTAATGATGTATTTGTTTGGAATTACTAATGAGTTGTCTCTTGCCTTACAACAAAAAGATCAAAATATTGTTTTGGCAATCAACTTGATTGGGACAATGAAAGTTAGATTGCAAGAATTCCGAGATAATGGCTGGGAGACTCTTTTAGAAGAAACAAATGCATTTTGTGAAAAAGTCAACATCCCGATCTTAAACATGGAAGAAGAAGTACTAATTCGTGGACGTAGTAGACGAAGCGGAAACACAACCACAAATTTGATTCACTTTCGCGGCGGAATCTTTTGTGAGGTATATGACTATGTCTTTTGATTATTTTTTTAATATTAGTATTGTATTCAATTATTTTGATTATATTATTTTGTACTATATATTAGGTTGTTGACAAGATGATTGTGGAGATGAATAATCGTTTTTCAGAAGCAAGTACCGAGTTACTTACTTGTATTGCATGTCTTGATCCAAGAAATTCTTTCTCCCAATTTGACATCGATAAACTGATTCATATGGCTGAAATGTATGCGGAAGACTTTTCTTCTACCGATCGTTTTATGCTTAAGCAACAACTTGAGACATACATTCATGCCGTAAAGAGTCAAAGTCAATTTCATGCAATTGAAGATTTGGGAAGTCTATCCAAACAAATGGTTGAAAGTGGCATGAACCTTGTGTTTTCATTGGTATATCGTCTATTGAGTTGGCGTTAGTTTTACCGGTTGCAACAGCTTCAGTTGAAAGAGTCTTTTCTGGCATGAAACTCATCAAGACTGATTTACGAAGTAGAATGGGAGATGAATGGATGAATGATAGTTTGGTGATCTACATGGAGAAGGAAATTTTTGCCAAGATTAAAAATGAAGCAATTTTGCAACGTTTTCAATGTATGCAGACATGCCGCACACAATTGTCTAAATTGGTTTCTTCTTCTTCTAACATTTAATTGTAATGTAATGTACTATTCTCACAAATTTTATATTATGTAAACTTTAATAGCAATTTATATTTTTGCATTTGGTAATACTTTTAGCTACCCCTTTGTTTTCGTTCTGGTTCCGCCACTGCTCCCATCTATTAGAGAACGGAGGGGATATTTGATTTGCTTAATTTTTTATATACGTAAGTAATTTAAGAATTTTATTAATTTCGTGAATTACCCATTGTCTGAATTAAACCATTTTTAAACATTCAGTTCAAGAATCCACTTTATGGATTATCCAAAGCTGAGTTGATCACAAATAGAATAGAGAAAAAAAATAATCAAAATAGGTTAGTTAAGTATTCCGAATGCCAACTTCGTACAAGTCAAAATAATGTAAAGGAGCTGGCAAATGGGTACGTCCTAGAAGCAATAGAGAGGATAAATACAGCACTAGATCATATCCAAGCCTTTGATTTAACAAGTGAGTATGTGGCATCTCTATAATGGATCAAATGGAATTCTCCAGTACCGTATGTACTGGAGAGGAGCCCGACTCCTTTTAGCTACCCCTTTGTTTTCGTTCTGGTTCCGCCACTGCTCCCATCTATTAGAGAACGGAGGGGATATTTGATTTGCTTAATTTTTTATATACGTAAGTAATTTAAGAATTTTATTAATTTCGTGAATTACCCATTGTCTGAATTAAACCATTTTTAAACATTCAGTTCAAGAATCCACTTTATGGATTATCCAAAGCTGAGTTGATCACAAATAGAATAGAGAAAAAAATAATCAAAATAGGTTAGTTAAGTATTCCGAATGCCAACTTCGTACAAGTCAAAATAATGTAAAGGAGCTGGCAAATGGGTACGTCCTAGAAGCAATAGAGAGGATAAATACAGCACTAGATCATATCCAAGCCTTTGATTTAACAAGTGAGTATGTGGCATCTCTATAATGGATCAAATGGAATTCTCCAGTACCGTATGTACTGGAGAGGAGCCCGACTCAAAAGGAGCCTTATCGCCCACATAAACTTATACTCATCTCATTCGATGTGTCTTCTCTTGTGTGAGACCATTATCAATAACGTGCTTGAAAAGGTAAAAATTATGGTGAATATAATGAAGTGAAATATTATTGATCACACATTTCTTCCCAAATTAGAAAATTATGACACTTATTTTTGGACAACCAAAAAGGAAAGTAAAACAGATAAAATAAGACGGATGAAGTATTATCTTTACAAAAGAGTCAATGTAGAAAGACTTCAAACAAATTCAACTTTACAAAAGAAAATATCAAAATAGGAAATGTATTCAGTGAAGTGATTTATTCTTTACCTCAATATGGCCAACAGCCAACTAGAATATGTATATGCTCATCAGCTATGAAGCACGGATACTTCCCTAGGGTAGCGTATCGGCGTATCGGATACGTTCCCGTATCCGATACTCTAGGATACCCGTACCATACGTTCCCGGGCCGTATCTGCAATTTTGAAAAGTTTCCATTTTTTTTTTTGTAATTTTTTGAAAGTTTCTGATACTCGTATCTTGACGGATACCCGTATCAACCATTTTTAAAAAAAAAAAATCCCAAAATTTACTTAATAAAATTCTAAAAAAATGAAAATCTAAAACTACATTTTACTTTGTAATCAAATAATGGGCCTATATGACTATATCCGAATTAAGTCATTAACTCATACTCCGAAGTGGGTACTTGCACTTTTAATTTCAAGATTGTAGTTGTTTGACTTATTTCTCATTTTAAATTAATGACTCATTGACTACATTTATATTTCGAGATACACTAGTGTATATGAGAAATATTATGAATTTATTACTAAGTATCTTGAAAAAGGAAAATGCTTCAATGCAATGAATGGATAGACATCATAGGGTATTATATGTGTATATATATATATATATATATTCAAAAAAAAATTAATATTTATTAATAGACCCCTATAACTTTTAATATTTGTAAATACACCCCCATAACTTTTAATATTTATAAATATGACCATGTATCCGTATCCTACTTTTTTTGGTTTTGACGTATCCCCGTACCCGTTTCCGCATTTCCGCGTACCGGTATCAGTGCTACATAGCTCATCAGCTCATGCCCTCATATGCTTTCCGCCTTTCTCCTACTCATATTTATATGACTCCTTTTCTCTCGCGAGTTAGGTCCATCATTTTTTAAAAAAATTGCGGATCATAATCAGTGATATTGAAGTTCAATTTTTATGAAAAATTGTTAGAAATTTTGTAAATTACTCTATCATGAGAAAACTGCTATTTCAATTACCTTTTAACACCACCAGGGCAGAAATTTTATAAGCATTACGTATTTGCGTGGTTAGGTAAATTCGAGGGGGTAATTTTTGAAAAAAATATGACGATTGATTCAATTTTTAGAAAATGTCACAAATTCAAAGCCATTAGACCATTTGGAGAGGAGAGGTTTTAAGAGTCCAAAAAATTAAAAATGGAACTTTTGGACTCCTAAATGTGTGTAGTGGAGGATTAAGAGAGGTGTTAAAATTGGGAAAGTGGGTTGAGGTCTTATTAATAGAGGATGGATTGACTCTCAAATTATGACTTTTTTAAAACTCTTTTAAAACTCTCAAATTAAACTTCAAATTTCTTAAAACTCTTATAACTTTTTTATTTGTATTCCAAATTTTTCAAAAAACATATCAAAAATCATGAATTTTTGTGGTCTTTCATATGACACCAATATGTAATATATAAAATGGGAAAACATCTGAAGTTTTAACCGTTAAAGTTTTTCTGAGTCCAAAAAAATATGAAACACAATTTTTTTTATTCGTGAAGCATTCACAAATAACTGAATATTTCATAATCCAACATTACTTGAACTAAGTTCATTTTTGTTAACAAAAAAAAACGTTAAAAAAATTAATGAAATTTATTTATTTTTACATAGAAATGTGTATTTTTCATTTCATAATTATTTAAGGAAAATATTGATAGTAAAACATTACTTATAATAATTTAATTAATATTTTACTAAATTGATATGTAAAAATATATGTTGAGTGTATTTTATTGACGTTGCACGAATGCAGGGAAATACAGTATTGACGGATTCTAAACACTGTTTCATATTAACGAAGTTCAAATTTAAATACAAATGGTCATAAAGAGAGAAAACAGAACATGAATTGGGAATGGATTGGGCTTTGAAAGAAAGGGCAATAAAGTAAATAGCCCAAGAGAGCTCGTAAGTAGAAGCCCATTCAGAGGTGGCGAGTTACCTCACTCTCTGACTCACAACTGCGGTACTTTCCAGCTTGTCCCAACGGCCTCACACTCGCCATTTGCTTCGTTTTCATCGAAACCCCTCTGTACGATCTCATCCCACCGCACATATATATAGATATAGGCATCACCGCCACAAAACAGCCTGAACTCTCACGCGCTCTTCCGTCTTCTTTGAATCAAGTAAGTTTCCAGCTAATCATTTTCAAATCCTATTCTTCAATGCATATGCATTTGCGGAGTATAGACGGAATTCTCCTGTTTCTTTGGTTCAAAATCGAGGTTTTCGTTGTTATTGGCCTTCGTATGTACTTGATCCCAAGCATTTCCCCATTTTCTTTAGTCTATTATCAAAATTCTTAGTAAGTTTTTATACAGTTTTTTCAACATTAGGAGTACTTATCACAGTAATTTATAATATTATCTACTACATTGAGAAATCTACATTTTCAGCATTTTTATGGGGTAGGCGTAAGAAACTTTTAAGGAGATGCCGGATGCGGGATTTAATTGTTGGCGTGAAAAGAAAGAAAAAACTTTTTAGTTCCATTTAGAGTAAGAGCAAAGGCTGTTTCCACACTCCATTCTTTGAGTGGCGCTAAATGTTACGGAGTAAAAGGTTTGAGTATTTCTATAGGGAACCACAGATTAGCAGCATTATTGCCATTGCTGGAGTTTTGACTTTTGAATTAAATTAATTATCCGAACAAATCTTACTGTACATAATATCCCAAACATCAAAAGACTAGAAATTGAAGCAAATTATATATATTTGGAAGATTTTTTAACAATCAGCTGGAGAACATGCCTTTATTTTTTTGTAGGAGATTGCATTATTATTTCTAGATTGACATTGTTAGAGTTTTTTGAACTCATTTTCTGTTCTACCTTGCTATCTCATCTCGCAGATTGTTATTTACCCTGGTGAAATTAAATTAGGCATCTCATAATGGCTGCAACTGCTGCTCCAAGCCTGCAATTCGCTGCGGCTAACCTCTGTGTTTCTGCATCTCGTAAACTTTTCCAGTCCAACACCTCAAGCCTCGCTTTTGAAAACAGGGGAAGATCTGCAACAGAGCTTAAAAGTTTGTGCTTTTTCTCCGCAACAAAACTATCCTCCCAAGGATTAAATACAGTTCCATTAAAATCTCAACGGATGGTTACTCGAGCAATGTCCAGTGCAACTGATAAGGAACACTTACCTGGGCTTGCCATTGACTTAAGAGGTTTATATTCATGTCTACTTTTGGAACCTTATCTTTTATGATTCTGTACAGATTGTCTTTGTGTGTATTTATTGTTGCTTTCTTTATCTTCTTTCCATATTATTGTTTTTGAGTTTGTTTATACAATCTGAAATAGTTCAGAAGAACTTTTGATTTGCGAAGATTGTTAGAGTTTTTTTCATTTTTCTGTCAAAAGAATATGTATCTTGTCGGTACAGAAAATAAGTAGTCCTCTTACAGTCTTATGTGCATGTTTTATACCACTATTGTTTTTCGTTTTGAAGATCTTTTCTCTGTTTATCTCATAAAACTGGAGTCGGATTTCAGATTCCTGTTGAATTGCCCTTGAATTTTTTTCTCGTACTTAAGAATTTTGTAATTTGTTAACCAGTTGGCTTATAATGGCATAGTTAAATTCTATCTGCAGGAAAGAGGGCATTTATTGCTGGTGTAGCTGATGATAATGGCTACGGATGGGCAATAGCAAAGTCTCTTGCAGCTGCAGGTGCTGAAATTCTTGTTGGTACATGGGTTCCAGTACGTATATATACACCTTTTCATATTGTTAAAATATTCACTTGCTCACTATAGACTACTAAAAAAATTCATGTATTTAATTGTTTATTTAGGCTCTAAATATCTTCGAGAGCAGCCTGCGTCGGGGAAAATTTGATGAATCAAGAGTGTAAGGGGCAGC